AGACCTCAACTAGCGAACCTGCCTGTCAACAATGGCAACTGGCTCCTCCTCATAACCCAGGCTCTTATCTAGCTAAACCGTGTTGTAGTCTAACACATGCGACCTGTCGGCATGATACTTCCGAAGCATAGACACATGGAAAACCGTATGAACTCCCGATAGTCTGGGAGGCAAAGCAAGCTCATAACCAACCTCCCCAACTTGCCTCAACACCTCAAATAGACCTATAAACCTTGGGCTCAACTTGCCCTTCTTCCCGAACCTCATGATTCCCTTCATCGGTGAGACTTTCAAGAGAACCTTCTCGCCCACCATAAATGATAATTCACGCACCTTCTGATCCGTGCAACTCTTCTGTCTGGACTGTGCTGTGCGAAGTCGCTCCTGAATCAACTTCACCTTCTCCAAGGTATCCTACACTAAATCAATACCATATAACCTAGCCTCGCCGGTCTCAAACCATCAGATGGGTGAACGACATCGATGACCATACAAAGCCTCAAATGGAGCCATCTTAATGTTGGACTGATAACTGTTGTTATAAGAAAATTTGGCCAAAGGCAAGAATCAATCCCACTACCCTCTAAAGTCAATCACACATGCTCTGAGCATATCCTCCAATATCTGAACTGTCTGCTCCGACTAACCATCAGTCTGCGGATGAAAGGCTATGGTGAGCTCTACCCGGGTACCCAACTCGTTCTATACTACTCTCCAAAAGTGTGAAATGAACTGAGGGCCTCTATCTGAAATGATGGAAACAGGCACACCCTGCAACCGAACAATCTCTTAAATGTTGGGCCAATCTCTCTGAAGAATACGTAGTCACAACCAGAATAAAGTGCGCCGACTTGGTCAACCTATCGATAATGACCCAAACAGCATCAAACTTTATCAAACTCTGCGGCATCCCAACTACGAAGTCCATAGTGATGTGCTCCTATTTCCACTCGGGTATAACCATCTGTTGAAGTAGGCCATCTGGCCTCTGGTGCTCATACTTAACCTGCTGGCAATTTAGGCACCTCGCTACATACTCAACTATGTCCTTCTTCATTCGCTGCCACCAATAATGCTGCCTCAGGTCGTGATACATCTTTGTAGCACTTGGATGAATAGAATAACGAGAATTGTGTACCTCATCTAGAATCTTCTCCCTCAATCCATCAACATTAGGAACACATAAATGACCCTAGAGTCGTAGAACATCATCCTCACTGATAGTAACCTCCTTGGCACCACCCTATAGTACCGTCTCCTTAAGAACCAGCAAGTGCGAATTGTCGTACTAACGAGCCTTGATCTGCTCGAATAATGAAGACTAAGCGACGACGCATGCAAAAACTCGACTGGGCTAGAAACTATCCAACCTCACAAGTCTGTTAGCCAAGGACTAAATGTCCAAAGCCAATGGCCTCTCTTCTGCTGAAATGAATGCCAAACTACCCATACTCTCAGCCTTTCAGCTCAAGGCATCCGCAAGCACATTTTCCTTGCCCGGATGATAAAAGATGGTAATATCATAGTCCTTTAGTAACTCAAGCCACCTGTGCTGCCTCAAATTGAGATCCCTCTGCTTGAACAAATGCTGCAAGCTGCGATGATCGGTGTAAACCTCACAAGACATCCCATAAAGATAATGCCTCTAGATCTTAAGAGTATGAACTATCGCGACTAACTTCAAATCATGTACGGGGTAATTCTTCTCGTGGGGCTTCAACTGACATGAAGCATATGCAATAACTCGCTCCTCCTACATCAATACACAACCCAGGCCAACGCGTGAAGCGTCTCAATGCACAGTATACATCCCTGAACCAGAAGGTAACACTAGTGTTGTAGTCAATGCGGTTTTGAGCTTCTGAAAGCTCACCTGGCAATCATCGGACCATTAGAACGGAGCACCTTTCTGGGTCAATCTAGTCAAAGGTGCTGCAATAGATGAGAAGACCTCCACAAACCAGTGATAATAACCTGCTAACCCCAAGATGAGGCCAACTTTGGGCTGCCTCGATCTTCCTGGGATCTACCTTAATACCCTCACCTGATAGAACATGCCTCAAGAATGCCACAGAATCTAACCAGAACTCGCACTTGGATAACTTAGCATATAACTTCTATTCCCGCAAGGTCTGAAGCACCACTCTCAAATGCTGCTCGTGCTCCTCCATGCTACCCGAGTATATCAATATGTCATCAATGAAGACAATGAAAAATGAGTCAATATATGGCATGAACACCCGGTTCATCAAATCGGGCATTGGTCAACCCGAAAGACATCACCAGAAACTCATAGTGGCTATATCTAGTTCGGAAAGCCGTCTTCGGAACATCTGAATCACGCATCTTCAGATGATGATACCCTGATCTCAAGTCGATCTTAGAGAACACCCTGGCACCCTGCAGCTGGTCAAAAAAATCATTAATATGCGGCAATGGGTACTTGTTCTTAATAGTAACTTTGTTCAACTGGCGGTAATCAATGGATATCTACATAGTCCCATATTTCTTCTTCACGAACAACACTGGTGCACCCCAAGGTGACACACTCAGTCTAACGAACTGCTTTGCTAGCAACTCCTCAAGCTGTTCTTTCAACTCCTTCGGAGCCATGCGGTATGGTGGAATAGAGATATGCTGGGTACCTGGAGCCAAATCAATACAGAAATCGATATCACTATCTGGTGGCATGCCTGGTAGATCAGAAAGAAACACATCGGAGAACTCTCGGACCATGGGCACTGAGTCAATCGCCGGAGTCTCTGTAGTAGTATCCTGAACATAAGCTAGATAAACCAAACAACCTTTCTTGACCATGTTTCGAGACTTTAGGAAAGAGATAACCCGACTAGATGCATTGATAGATGAACCCTTCCATTCCAATCTAGGCAACTCTGGTATCGCCAAGGTAACAATCTTGGCATGGCAATCAAGGACAACATGGTACAGAGACAACCAATCCATGCCCCGGATGACTTCAAAGTCGGTCATATCGAGCAACAGAATATCCGCTCTAGTCTCATAACCATAGAAAGTCACGATACAGGACCGGTAAATCCGATCCACAATAATAGAATCGCCCACTGTCGTGGACATATATACATGAGTACCCAAGGACTCGCAAGGAATACCCAAAAAAATGAGCAAACAGAGATGAAACATATGAATACGTAGACCCTGGATCAAATAGTACCGAAGCATCCCTACCGCAGACAGAAATAATACATGTGATCACAACATCAGAGGCTACTGCATCTGGTCTGGCTGGAAAAGGCATAAAACATAGCTGGAGCGCCACCTGACTGGTATCTACCTCTAGGACGACCCCTACCCACATGCCCTCAGTCTCTGGGCAGTCGGATGGCTGGTGCGGTAATCATGGGCTGATGACCTTGCTGTACTGCCTTGCCCCTGAGCCTGTTGCAGAATCTCCTCATTTACATGGCCAAGATGCCCACACTCAAAGCAACCTCTTAGTGCGGAGGATAACTGACCTTGAGTCTGGCCCTGGGAACCTGAACACCTACTGGAAGAACCCTGAATAGTCGGTGGACGGTAGGAGCTCTCTGGAATGGAGCTCTCTGGAATGGCGCTGAACCTTGAATAGCCGGTGGACATTCCAATCATCCTGAATTGGTGCATTAAGATCACGTTCATCCTCGATTATCATGCTGTGCAGTATAATATATGTAGTTATTATATCATGTAGCACTTCTTTTCTCCAAAAACGTGATGGTCCTGCAACAATTGCAAAACGAGCTTGCAAAATTCCGAACGCACGCTCAACATCTTTTCGACATGATTCTTATTTCATCGCGAAATATTTCTTCTGTTGCGAATGTGGGTCACGAATAGTTTGCACAAGGGTTGAATTTACCGTAGTTTCGACATGCTATTTACCGTAGTTTCAATTTTTATGTATTTTAATTTAATGTATTTTCAATTTTAATGTATTTCCAATTTTAATGTATTTTCAATTTTAGAAACATTTAATATTTTATATTCGCACATTTCAATTTTAGCAACATATGGTTTATTATATTTGCACCATTCATTTTTTGAGATGATTATATATTTTTTGTACAATTATAACTTATAATAAAATTAACTTACAATTTTACATAAAAATAATAAATGCATGAAAATTAATTTATCAAAATCATACGCCAAAGTTAAGATGTATAATTAATATTATAAAGATATTACATAAACATAATTAGATAGATATTATAAAGAGATAAATTAAAAGAGTTAAATAATAAAAATAATCATAATGTAAGGATGAATAATAATCGAGGAGATGAATAATGTCACTCCAAATGTGGAGTAATACTATTCATCCCCCATTTTGCAGCAAAAAATGGGGGAGCATTGAAGCCAAATTTCTCCAAAAACTTATTGCATTTTGGCAAAATGCAGCAGCGTTGGAGATGGCCTTAGGGCCAGATGCGAACCTAAGATTTGAAGGTAGTGGGAGACATGAGTGGATTGCTCAATCAGTGCGCCTATCAGGTTTTTGATTTTGTAAGGGTTGCAAACAAAATATATGATCGTTTTCAACATATATAAAATTAATTTTTGCGGAGGTTAACGGTCCGATGACCCCTATGCCTTTGTTTTTGGACTTTAATAGAGAGAAAAAAATAAAATTATTTTTTTAAAAGAAATTCTTGTACTCCCTCCGTTTCAATTTATATGAACATATTTCCTTTTTGTTGTCAAAAAGAATAACTCATTTTCATATTTAAAAATAATTTACTTTTATATAATAATTTATAACTACACAAAATATATGTGTCTAATTTTATATCATATGTTCAAATTTTATTTTATTTTTCTTAAATTTCGTACCACCGAAATGAGTTAACATAATTTGAGCTTTTTCTTCTAGATTCAAGGAGTCAATTAATGCATAGCTGTCCCTTCCCCACCAACACAGTTTTAGACACGTTCGCAAGAAAGTAGAAACTACTGCTTGCTTGCTAATTTCTAACTGCCCAATCCTTACGGAAATGCGAACGTAATCGCAACAAACGTCCATTGAATTTTCTCGTCTTTTTCTTTTCCAAGACCTGCACTTGTAATCACATGAGTGGGTCCACTAGTAAAGAGTTTGATACTACTCCATATGTTAGTACTGTGGGTGAAGCTGACTGAAGAGAGCAGATGAACAAGTGAAAAACTGGCGACCAAAATAGGACCCCACTACGGAATCAACGTTTTTATCCTTTTAAATGCAAATCCAAATTTTGACTCGTTTCCTATAAATTATCTGATTATACCTACTTCAAAACCATCTTCTATCTCCTCCCTCTCAAGCATAGTGCAGTTGTGGGGGACAATCCTTCACTCCGGAAGGGTAGGTTCCTTGTATTCTGCACTGATCAAGGTTTGTTTTCCTGATCTTGACTCTTGTCTTTAAATTTCCTCCCCCCCCCCCCCCCAA